ATGACTCTTATCTACATACGCACAATAGAATCACATTAGTTTGCTGATAACGGCAATACAATGCACGGCGGTGCCTTTGAAGATTTTAAATACCATATCCACCAGGCGCTATAGCCAACTATCGAAATGTTTTAGGATAAACCTATACGAGATAATAAGTACCTTACTAAATATCTATGGTGAAAGACTATAATTTATATATACTGGCATCGCGTCGCGTCGTGACATACGTTTAAAAATCCAACATCAACCTCCTGTTTTTGAAGTAGGTTAATTAGTATACTAAACCCATCCCCTAAATGTAACAGAAGTTTTTCTGAAAACCGCATCAAAATCGGTTCAACCAATCGCGAGATAATCGCGTACAAACAAACATACAGGTCAAACTGAGAACCTCATTTTTTTTAAGTCGGTTAAAATACAACAATGTTCTAAATATAAACCTACTTACCAATTATAGAATTATTACGTTCATCCTTAGTTTATATTTAGATAAATTTTTCAATTTCACTACATAAAATAAATAATCTTATGGATTATAAATTCCATTACAGTGTGTCATGACCCTAACTTTTATCTACAGATACATAATATTCTATCGTATTTTCGTAAGTATATAACAAACGCACAGACGCGTCACGGGCACTCGCCGAGAGTCGAACGGACGCATATATGAGTTTCGGGCACACGGTGGGAGCCGTAAGAACGCGTATATGAGTTTCCGGCACACGAAAAGGGCAAACATTGAACGCAATAGTGCGTGCGGGGCACTGTAGGATGTCTTATAATTCGGGCACTGGAGAAAATCCACTGGGCAGTGAATGCGTTAATAATAGGTAATATTAATTCTCATAACAATCAATTATCTTCTTCCTCTTTTACTTTATCCTGCCTCCTACCAGCCAACCTCATTTTTATAAGTATAAATCTTGTAGTTTAGTCTATGTCGAAGGAGTTTCTTATTCTAAAATATTGTTTATGGTTTGAAAATCCAATGATATATTGATTGACATCCAATGATTAATGATTCGCGGGTAGGTGCTAATACATATCAGATGTGCTTTTTGTTAGTGGATTTTTTTAATTAATCCAAATGGTTTTTTTTTTTCAAAATTCATGGAATCGTTACAATATTTATATGCATTATATGCACCACCTGCACAAGTATTATTTTCTATTCATGGAAAAGTTCACTGAAGTTGTGAAGATACACAAGAGTATGGAAGAGAGAATTCAGATGACCTAGAGGCACAGATTTAGGCTGCTGGACCGGCTAAGGACACCTTTACTAGAATCACTGAGGATGTTTGAAGCTTCAAAAAGTTGGTTAACAGCTTGCTTGGCATGCTCCGTCAACTAATTGCAAATTGCATCGAACAGGTTGACAATGCTGAAACCCAGTGCGGAGGAAAGCTCCTCTGTTCCATGGAGTCAAGGAGTTGTGGACATACTAAAGACCAAATTGTTGCTACACATTGCGCCCACATCGTTTAAGGCCTGTGATAGACTGGGCTCTTTAAGACAAGCTACTGGTATGGGGGGCCAAAAAGGGTCTGAAGGGCTCCTCCATCTCGATCAAAGAGTTTCTGACTAAAACTCGGCAAGTAGTCTTTGGCAGGGCGCGTCTTGATTTTGGAATCGAATCGTGTTAGATCCAGAACGGAACGGAACGATTCGGACCCACTTCTGGCCAAATATTCAAGAAGGGCCGTGAGTGATGACCTCCGAACCAAAAACCAAAACTAACCGACATGATTGTTTAGGAGTAGTGTAGATACTGTGCTCATCCATAAAATGTGAATAATAAATAATAACTCAAAGTATCAATGGAGTCAATGGAGCTCATCATCATAAGACACCCCACTGACCGGATGGGCATTCTAGTTGATTTATTTATTTATTTATTGTTTATTTTATACTTTATTGCACACACAGAAAATTTGTTTAAATTACCTTCATATAAAATTAATTTATGTTACCCACATAGTCCATTACATATTCTTTCACCAAGTTAAGGTATGCTGAATTTATTGATATTACATTTTACCCACATAACATTAATAATAATCTTAGCGGCTTAACTCAAAAACATCGGTAGTTTGAACTATATAGTTTTTGAATTTCAATGCAATGTGTGGTTTGCCATTGACTTGACATTGTCAGGAATGTCAGGGTGTACCATCGACAATGATTTTACGTTTGGTTGTTGCATGGTGCATTTCTGCGAGATATTATATGATGTGTTGCTCGGTGATGAATATTTTTCTTTTTTGTTTTGTTTTACTCTGATTGATTTTTTTTCTTCATAACGCATTGTGATTGTTGTTTGGTATACTTATCATTGTTTTTTTTCTCCCTGTAATGACGAAATGGTGTTAGCTTGTGTTATATCTAAAAATTAATTGTTTTAATATTTTATACTATATATACATATAAAAATATTATTTATATACCTTTATTACTTATATATATTTATATATTATTGGAAATGATTGGCCTTAGATTTTACTCTGGATTAATTGGATTGGCCTCTTTTTACTCTGCCAATAACTCACATGCAACCGATGACGAAAACTTCAGTTCATTACCCAAGACTCTTAGTTATATTCTGCAAACCATTTCATAAATTCCACAGTCTTTAACATTTGTCTTATGAAAGCTTAAACGCTCAAAGTGTCCCAAGTCACCATAGTGAGTCGCGGAGAACCTAACGGGTTACCTGGGCTCCGGCTCGACGTGCAGGAGAAGGAACGGGGTGGTTTTTAGTCTGTAAGGGTCTGACACTCCCTCCCGCTTCACCCAGACGGGAGCAGTCATTCGATGATTTTCCCCCTTAAAAAAAAGTCACCATAGTGAATTGTACGGCACGTTTTCTGTCAACAGTGTTTATGCCGTCCTGGTTTCTCAAACTTGGCTTAAACCTGAACTTCCTCCTTGGAATTACTCTCTCCCTGGATTTATTTCTATACGTCATGATCGATTGCTATACCTTCGTGCTAACTTTCCACACAAAATCATTGCTACATCTTCTTCTAATGAGTCTGCTGAATTTCTCTTTTTAGAGGTTTGCGTCACGGGAACGCAGATCGTACTGCGGGTTATTTATTGCCCCCTTTGGAGATGTTGTTTGCTGCGATTGAAACAAGTTGAAGTCTTGTATGCGTGGGCGCAAAGCGTGCGCATCCAGATGTCTCGGAGCGTAGGCTCAGTTTTACCTTGTGAGCGATGGCTTTTTTTATATATCTGCTACATGCTCACACCCAATGAGACATTTAGCTGTCGTTTATTGTTTATCATAACTATTCTGTACAATATATTTAAAACATAATTGGTACGAACAATAAATAAATAAAGAGACATAGTGAACAAACTTAAACTAGAATAGGAAAATTGGCGAACTTAACGTTAGGCCTTAAAAGTAATGAAGAGATAAATACTATTGTAGTGATTGGCGTTTGGGTCCTACTTAGAAACTGCTCTAGTTTGGAAAAGAATTTCGTATTTTGACGAACCAAGTGTTCTCAATAAAATAAATATTACTTTAAGTGCTTTTATTAAAAAAAAAAATGGATTGTGCTAGTAGTAGCAAATTCCCTCAAAGTTGGCACTTTTAATTGGGATTCTAAAATGGTATGGGAATATAATCTATCCCTAGAGAGTGAATATAGGGACATTATTTCTTAAATTCGACACAACAAATATTTTTCAACGAAACTCAGCAAGAATCTCTTCTAAAACAACATCGTTTGTCGACTCATGATTCACTCGCAGCATTTGTCAGCAATATTGTTGCTAGAGGAACAAATGTTTTCGATCATTTCTCACTATAAAGAACATGTGATGTTTACAACATCATTAATTCGAAAGACGTCGGTTAGTTCGCAATAATTATGAGTACCTACTATATTTGCACGCTATTGTATACCTACGGCAAATATGTCTCGAGATTTTTTTACTTTTACCCTCTATCTTACATGCAATTGTTTAATGTATGTACATACATCACACACATGTGTTTGAGCAAATAAATATGATTTGATTTTAGAGATTTGGGAGAGGTTATCTCATTGTTTGTTGACCCCACTCCAGCAATTTCTTAACTATAAAATGAAAATTGTTACTAACGCAGTTACTTAAGTAATGACTTTTAAGTAGGTACCTACTTGTCTATAAATACAGGGGATTATTGAACGTGACGACTTACGTTCAATGATCAATCCGGAATTGAAGGTTTTTAATGAAATTGAAACAACAAAACCATTGTGTAAATCTTTAACAATTATTCAGTTTATTTACAATTATTAGGTAAAAATATATAAAAATATCACGGAATTGTTCGTTGAGTATTTAAAAGAAGAATACATAATTCCCTCCTCCCGCGGTGTCGCGAGACTCGACTAAGGGAACATAATTATGTACAACAGCGGCCGGGATGCAGCGATCTCTGATGACTCGATCTTTCAAACTGCGGTCTCTAACCCGCCTGCAGGCCAGGCCAGCAATGAACTGGTAGCTTCTAAAATCAAATTGATTTTCATCATTGATCAGAACACAGTATGTTATAAGCAGAATACGGTGTAATATCTCACTTAAGTGGAACAAGTCGCCGACAATAAATTCTTTCTAGTCGGAGACGCCATATACTTTGGCGTTGTGTTGGGCCATTTCAATCTGTTTCGCGTCTATATCAACTGTGATGACTGTTGAACATAATCAAGCACTAGATAACAACACAATGACAAAAAATAACACATAAGAAACTATTGGTTTCTAGTGGAAAACAGTAGGTATCGAAAACAAGTGTTACCTACCCCGATTACATGTCATTGCAAATTGTATCGTATTGCCACCAGCCCCGCAGAACGCGTCCAAGACAACGTTGTAACGATACTTGTGAGCGATTTGCGCTGCCACGCTCTCCGGGGTTCGGTCAACCAGCTCTCGCAGTTTAACTTGACCCCTTCCAGCGGTGAACTATTAACTTCTAAAATCAATTGATTTTAGAAGTAGTATGCCGTTATGGCCACGAGGCCTTTCCCTATATAATTCTTTTCAACCTCAACTTTTTTTTCAGCCAGAGCTAAGATCTGTAACAAAAAATTGTATAAATATCTAATAACAGCAAAAGAGTAAACAATCGTAAAAAGTTTTAGGAACATACCTAGAAGCAATATGAGAATAAATCAAAGCACAATATATCTACTACACTAAGCTAAATGTGGTGCGATATCTTACTTGGTCGGGTCTAGAGTTCCTCGGTAGGAATATCTCAACATTGCACGATATAGTCCGCGCCACTCTCATCAGCTCTGACGCCGGTCTTGGCTCCAGCATTATCTCAATGTCATATTCTGCAATCTGTAAACAGATTAATCAAATAAATTAAGTATACAGCTTAGAAGACTAAAGTTGGATACACATCTTCTAGAAGGAGGCTCGTACACGTATACAGCTTGGGTGGGCAGCGTGTAGAAAACTTTTCGGGAAGTCTGCAACGAGTGCATTTTATTTATCATGCAACTGAGACATACACTGGCATGGCGAATGAACCACCAATTTAAAATTGTGCAGGGAGTTACAGAGATCTAGGAATCTCTCTAAAGGATCGATACGTCTACGTCTACGTCTAGGCAAATGTGTTGCGGGGCAGGGCTGAAGATCAGAATAAAACTTTAAAGTCCACTTACTTTTGAATACGACGGGCCTCCCCATGGCGGACTCAGGAAGACCATATCCGCGCTGAGTTGCGGTGCCAACTGGAAGAAGTCGCCGACAATAAACTATTTTATGAGCGACGCCACACTACACTTTGGCGTTGTATTGGGCCATTTCAATCTTTTTCGCATCCACTGCGATGACTGTTGAACATAATCAAGCATTAGATAACAACACAATGACAAAAAATAACACTTAAGCAACTACTGGTTTCTAGTGGAAAACAGTAGGTATCGAAGACGCGTGTTACTTACCCCGATTACATGCCATTGCAAATTGTATCGTATTGCCGCCAGCCCCGCAGAACGCGTCCAAGACAACGTTGTAACGATACTTTTGAGCGATGTACGCTGCCTGCCACGCTCTCCGGGGTTCGGTCAACCAGCTCTCGCAGTTCAATTTGATCCCTTCCAGCGGTGACTATTAACTTCTAAAATCATATTGATTTTTCAGAATTTGTATGCCTTTATGCCCACGTGGACTTTTTGTGCCTGTGTGAAGCACTGCCACAGCTTTGAAGAGAGCTCCAATACGGGGTGGCATTCATGGGGATTCCTCGCGCGCTTCCTGTATCGCATCTTGATGGTTTGTTCACCTACTGCGATTTTTTGCAGCAGGTGTTTATTTTGTGCCATTAGGAGATCCGCTATCTCCTGGTCGCTGTAGCTGGAGAGGACACCCTTCAAACAGACCAGCGAGTTCTGTGGCTTGGGTTCCTGAACCCTTAGCCCTTTGTTGGACTTGAACTGGTCTCTTACCAAGCCCAAGTCAGCTTTGCTCGCGCATCGCAGGACTACTTTTTGGTTTCGTGCCTTGCGCACTGCGTCCACCCTGGCTCCCGTCGTTTTCAAGTCCAGGGCTTCCCTGATCCTCTCTATTACGTTGTCCCCGGTGTGCTGGGGGTCTGTCGAGGAAATGATCAGGGTGTGGTTCGGACCTTTCGTCTGATTCGAGGGCTTTGGCGTGCTGGCGACCTGGGCAAAAGTTTTCAGGCTTTGTTCTTGCTGTGGTGGCCGATCTGGTTTGCCCAGGTCTGCCACCCCTTTTTCGATCTTTGCGAGTGCCCTCTTGACTTCGACGACCGCCATCTCCGCATCCAGACTGGGCGCCGTCGGGCTACGATTGGCGGGTCCCTATCACGCAGTACGCGTATGTCCGCCGATACGATTTCCAGCCTTTCTGCCAGTGGTAGTGTGTGTCGTTCTATGGATCTTTCAATTTATAAAGGTTGGATCTGGGGGAGACCTCAACCGGCTTGTTTTTAATTTCTTGCAGCAGGTCCTTCATTTTTGACATTTCCTCCCCCAGTTTTCTGGTGATAAGCTCGTCCATCTCCCGCATTGAGGCACCGGGGAGTCCGGTTTTGGCTGTGAGAGATCTGTGCTCAATTTTTGATGAGCCATTCGGAGCACGTCCAGCTGGTTGCTTATGCTGGCCATGTGTATGTCGAGACGCGACAGTCCTTCCCCCAGAGATTCGTGTGTTTTGGTCCCTGGTTGTTCCGTCTGCCTTGTTTTCTCGTGCTCCGAGATGTTCCTCATGTTCACAGTCCGGATTTCGTTTTTTAGTTCTTTGATGCCCTTGTGTCTCGTGTCCGAGCCACTCCCTAATTCCCTTTGCCTCTTTTTTTGTTTCAAGGACGTCCGTGCGCACAATGGACAGCTCGGCTTTTAGGGCCATCACTTCTCGTGAATGAGCCATTTCGACTCGACCGAGTTCCTGTGTATGTCGAGAGCGTTCCTTCTCGAGGTTGTACTTGTGGCGCGCTCTGGAGTCCGCCAGAGAGAGGACCGTCTCGTACAGGCCTTGTAAGCATTCGTGCGTAGTGGCCTTGCACTCCCTCTTCATGTTACCCGCGGTCTCCAATGCGTCCTTGCCTTTCTGAAGGAGGTGGTTTGCCTCTCTGGTGGCTAGATCCATTTCCACCCCCATGCCTCTTTTTGGCGTCCTGTATAAAAGACTTTTACGCTCGGGGCGGTCTGTCCGGCCCGCCGAGTAGGTAACCGAGCTTTCCTCGTCTGAGACGATCTGGCGTGGTGGCGAGATACCACATTGAGCCCAATTCACCACGATGTCGGAAACCCCACATAGTTGTTGGGTGGGAGTCTCAAACACCGAAACGCTCGCGCCGGAATGTTGTGAGGCGGTGTCGCATCTTGCAGCGTCGGGTTCCGATGCAGCCTTTGACGCCTTGGGCTGCTCTATTGGGCGCGTCAGTCGCTCCGACGCCGTCGACGTTGCCGTTTTGGCCGTGTTTTTTAGAATTTTTTCCCTTAGGGATTTTGCTGGTTTGGCGGCCTCCGTGGCGGGTTTACGGGAGTTAAGGCCGGCCGAAGACATGTTTAATGGTTGACCCTACTTATATTATTATTTTTTATTGTTATTATTGTATTTAATATTGTTGAAGATCTGGTGGGATCTTAGGATTCCAAGTCAGGTGAGCCCAAACTCGGGGGGTTATAAGAAAGGGTTAAGGAATTCCCTCGGGGCTTGCCTGATGTTGCACAGTGAAGTCTCCAGGCTGGTATTTCTTCCGCAGGCAGATTACTCAGGCGGCTTCGGAGTCTCCAGTTAAGGCTGGGATGATCGGCCTTACGTCACGCCTCGTGTCACAGAACACGCGGTGGTAAATTGAGGTTAGATTTAATTTAACCTAAAATCCACGTGCTACGGCGATTTTTTGATCCAGATAACTCCGAAACCTCTGCTCCGATTTTGGCGATCTAGGTGTTGGTAGATTCAGCTCTGCTGCCTCTCGCAGGATTAGTGTTTGTGGATCGACTTCACAGACCTGTGCTGAGTTATTTGACCCCAAAGTCCCGGTCTTCCTGTGTCGCAGTCCGATGATTCAGAATCTTGCCCACACGAATCCTGGTGACTTGACACAACACAATTTCACTGATAACTGATTTGCGCACGTAGCTATACGCGTTGAATTTAGGCGAATGTTTAACGCGGAGCTGATGTTGATCGTGGCAATTTCTATCGGTTACTCAAAAACAACTAAATGACAGTTCATTAAACTGTCAAACACCAAGCGGTCACCGGTGACCGCGACCTATTGTTCTTTAATTGTGTCTATAAAACCGGTACTCGACGAGTTAACTAAATCTAATTGCCAATAATTGAGTAAGTAGGTAATATCCACAGATTCTATAATTCACTATCTGAACGTGTATCGACATCGAAAGTTAGATAGAACACAACCTTTTCATTACATTCAATGTCTGACAAAGTTTCTGTTAGTCCAAAATTTCACATATTTCAGTAAATGACAATGAAGGAGACTGCTACTTGTATACTGCGAGGCTGCTGCACTGTAAGAGGTCGTGTACGTATCGCTATATAGCATAGCTTATCTAGGCCGAGCCGCGATATCGTCACATCCATGCGCCCGCGGCTTTATATTATTGCTCACTTTAAAAAGTATTCAGTACAATGTTACTAAATAGACACATTCTAATGTAGTAATGCAAAGTTTAAATAACTTCCGCCATATCTCCATTCTTCGTCGCTACTATAGTGTAAGCTCTTCGGAGTACCTACAATTTAATACCACGAAACAATGATCGAGGCAGGAGAATGTTGACAATAACCGAAAACATTGTAAAAATGTTCCCAGCCAAGTGTTGAAATATTTAGATAAATCAACACTCAGTGTCGGCTTCTACAATCGTCAAATTATCAGAACAAAAACAGTCAAAAGAAAAAGTCATTTCAAAGAGAAATGTATTTAAATAATTATCACAAAAAAAATCAACAAACAATAGAAGCTCAATGACCATGCTCAGTACATTTTGTGTAGACTTCACAGATACATGCGGGAGTGAAGTATACCTACTCGTACTCCAGAACAATAGTCTATCGCGTGTTAATAACTTGTGGCATTATTAGAGTTTTCTGTAATTTGTTCCACAATATTTAAATAACACGTTCATTTTAATAGGCCTTGGTGGCCCAAGTGTACTTATAAAGTACTTAGTCTTACATGAACTTTTCATACCATAGAAGACAGTATGTGTAGCGAGCCGAAATATGAGTTTGTCACTTCTGAAGTAGGTGCTTACATTTCCGAAATCTCAAAACATGGGAACCAATTTACAAACCGTCTACAGATTATCCCCAAAATTAGAAACAATGGTGTAATCACATTTGCGATGAGTCATATCACTAAGTACTGCTAGGACAATATTTGCTGCTGTAGATGAAGAGATCAAAGAACGGGTTGCAAGGGACAAGTAAAGACGAACTTCGTTTTAAAAATAGTGGTAAAGGGTAAGCATGGTAACTAGCAGGCGGTGTGCTCTTATATTCGGTCGTAACGGAGTGTGACTATCAAAGACTTCATTTTCTGTCAAAACATTTCACTTGTAAGACCTCCGAGTCGGCTCTGGGATTAGTTCTATCTCCACCCCATACTACTCAATGACTTAGTTACGATAAGCTATGGTCTGTATGGTATGGCGACTACCAACCATGAGGACCTGTCGTAGCCGCGTAGCGCGTAGGCAGCACAGTATCTCGTAGTCATCTGCTACGACTTAACGCCCGGCGTAGAGCCACAGTACCTACTACGTACCGACGCGACGCAGCTAATAGCAGCTCATTGGGCTAAAAGGGCTGTATTTACAATACATTAATGTATTGTAAATACAGCTCTTTATGTTTTTATATCAAAGGTTAGTCGTTGAAAAATTCTGAAGAGTAGTTCACAGCGACAAAGTAAGAGTGAATTAACAATAGTATTTTAATATCACCGGCGCGGCGTAGTACTAAGGGATTGTGATAAAAAATACAAATAATAAATAACTTCGGGCCTCTAACTTGAATAATAATAATTATTAATTGCATTCTAACTTTAGAGGCTCGGAACGAAGACATAACAATGTTCGTACATTACCGTAACTGACACTTCTTGCTATTTACACCTAGAGCAGTGACGCGTGTTTTGTAAAAACTTGAAAGAACATTGTTTTGTGTACCATTGAGACTAAATAACTGAAACTCAAATTCAAAACCAGTATTCGTTTTGAAGAACTTAAGAAAGAGAGAGAGAGAGAGAGAGAACGATCGAGCGAGAGAGAAAGAGAGCGGGCGAATGGTCATTATGTAGGTATTTAACAGAAATAAAACTGAATAATGACACGTTTGAACGTGACGACTTCATTGATGACTTGTTGTTATAACAGTGCTTCATTAGTTTTACCCCTGGTTTGGGTTAATTGTTTTGTCAAGGCTTTTATTGAAATTGAAACAACAAATTAAATCTTTTATATTCATTCAGTTTATTTACAATACATTAGGTACGTATAAAAATATCACAAAATATCACAGATTTAGAATAACTTGTTCGTTGAGTATTTAGAAGAAGAATACATATTTCCGTCCTCCCGCGGTGTCGCGAGACTCGACTAAGGGAACATAATTATGTACAACAGCGGCCGGGATGCAGCGATCTCTGATGACTCGATCTTTGCAAACTGCGAAATCTCTAACACGCCGGCCAAGCGTGCTCGTGTGGAGGAAGCACAAAGGCCAGCAGTGTAGTAGTATGCCGTCATGGCCACGAAGCCTTTCCCTATACATTTTTTTTTCTATCTCAACTTTTTTTTCTGTCAGATCTAAAATCTGTAACAAAAAAAGTGTGTAAATAATAACAACAAAAGAGTAAACAATCGTAAGAAACTTTTGGGAACATACCTAGAAGCAATATTAGAATAAATCACAGCACAATATAAATACATATACTAAGCTGAATGTGGTGCGATATCTTACTTGGTCGGATCTGGAGTTCCTCGGTAGGAACATTTCATTATTGGACGATATCGTCCGCGCCACTCGCATCAGCTCTGACGCCGGTCTTGGCTCCAGCATTAATTCTATGTCATATTTCGCATTCTGTAAACAAACCAATAAAATAAATTAAGCGGAACTTTTCAGGAAGGGGCAACGAGTGCGTTTTACTATACAGCTGAGACATACACTGGCAGGGTGACTGATCCACCAATTTAAAATCGTGCAGTAAGTTTTAGAGATCTCCGAAATAAAAGAGAAAATTACGTCTAGGCAAATGTATTGTACGGAGCCA